GCCATCAGGACAGACATGAGGGGTTGGGTCTTCCTGCACCAGTTAAGACCATCAGGACAGACATGAGGGGTTGGGTCCTCCTGCCTCAGTTAAGGCCATCAGGACAGACATTCAGGAGATATTCCCTACTCAGCTGATTCTACTTTGTGGTAAGTTGATATTAAAACTCATCAACAGCGTTGGCTCTTCCCACTCCTCAGTCATTTTTAAAGTCTGTGGTACTGGCCAGCAAACAGAGCCTCACATACATGCTTGGTAGGCACTGCACAGCTGACCCACATCTGCAGCCTCTCTGTTTCTTTTACACAAAGCGGCAACAACAGATCTATCAAGGACCAACTCTATGGGCGTGTTCCTCCGGGCTCCTCCCATTTCTTACATTCTAACACACTCACACGGCACTGAAAGGATCTCTAAAAGGTAGTCTGCGTCTACTAACAACCTCTTTATTAACAGACTGCTGTGCTCTGGGGACTGGGGTAGACTTCTACATACATAACCTTGATACTTTGCAGAGCCCTTTAGGACAGACATCTTCACCCTCATTTTAAGAAGTTCAGCAACACGGAGAACAGCTCGAGCATCCACAGCTGTCATTAGAGATGGATTTCAAGCTCCAGATATGGGGGCAGAAGCCATCAATCCTCCATAGCCCGGATACTGTTGGGTGAGCTTCTGACCCTTGGGTTCCATTATGTTCTTATAAAGATGTTCACAATCTGAGGACTTGAGGGTAAGTGTGACTGCCAGCTAAATGCGTCTCAGTCACCAGGCCTGTCCCTCCGCATCCCACTTGTCTTTGTTTTTTTGTTTGTTTGTTTTTTGTTTTTTTGTTTTTTGTTTTGCCCAGAAACCCAGTAAGTAAATACCGTCATTATCTGCATCCATCATAGCACCTGACGTCCTATAGATGCTTTGCCCATTTGCTGAATGAGTTGGCCTCTGTCACACAGGTGTGGTAACTGAAGCCAGGTCGTAAGTGGATGGGGCATGTGGAGAGACAAGCAGCAGAGCTGGGATGGGGGTCCAGGTGCAGCATTCTCCATGACCAGGACAGGAAGGCTAGGGACAGCCGCCTCTTGTTTCAGCTCAGACAAGAGCCTCTACCCTTTCCTAGAAGATCAGGACGTTTCTGAGTTGAGCTTTCTTACACAGATTGCTGAAGCTAGTGTTTGGCAGAATGGAAAACTTGGAAATCTGAAGCTCTGGAGTTTTTTTTGTTTGTTTTCTTCTTCTTTTTAAACCAGACAATAGAATAACCTCATCACCTAATCAGCCTGAGTGTAGTTTCTGCCTTAGTAAATCGAGGTGTCACCAGGCTCAAGCCAATCACAGAGCAGGAGAGAGTGAAGATGTGACAGGGTAGTAAAGACAGTTCCGTCAATCTTTATGATCTGCACGGGCAGGTGGTTCCGACATGCCGTCAAACAGTGTAAGGAGTTACCCCGAAACTCCTCCAGCAGAAGATTCTGCAGTCTAATTAGCAGCTTCGCACACTGCCTGGCTCAGGATGTCTCTGGATTCCCCGGGGAAGGCGCCACCGCTGTCTCCCTTCCTCTGACTTTAAGGGCCGTGACTGTACATTTCTCTGCTCACCTGTGGTGATGAAAGAGCATCCGAGTTCCCACGATGTATGAGCCCAGGACTGGGCATGCGTCACACTTCTCAATGCAGGGACTCTGCACTAAAAAGTTATCCTTCATCCTCTGGGAAATGCCAACAGCACGGTACTCACTCTCAACAGCTTAAAATAGTCACATGATAGGTCAGTTGCTTCCTGATTCTGGAAAGCCTGCCGCCCATCTATCCCATTTTATTTCCCTGAGCTTGGAATTGCTTCATAAACCCCCACCATGAGAGCAGAACCCCAGGACTCAGTGCAGACAGCCCAGAGGGTAAGCCAATAGCAAGGACCTAGCCAAGCTTTTAAAACCCTGAGTTCAGAGTCCTAGCAGAGGAGGAACCAGATCAGAGTGGTTGAGTAACTCCTCCAAGATCAATTAGAACTCGTTATTGCTACTATGTATGCAGTCCCCAGGACCCAGAAGCTGTGATCTTTTGTTTTCTCTTTGTTGTTTAACTGTCCTGGGGAGATAGCGGTGATGGCCCCTTGCTTAGCTCCAAGAAAGAAAGGAGAGTTCAATTTGAATCCTTCTACTAGGTAGTCAGCAGACTCTGAGGTGGACATTTAGACATGAGTAACAGTCTCTGCCCTTGCCCTTCAAAGCCCAGCTTCATCCTGTGGCTAAGAATAAACTGAAAAAAAGAAAAAGAAGAAGTCACACAGCTAAACAGACAAGTCCGGCGTTCACCACCCTCCCTGCACATACAACTTCCTCTCACCCTAAAACACACAGTAATCCCATAGTATCCACATGGAATTCATCCCAGAACGTTATAAAGACATCCGAATCCACCCACAGATAATCAAGTTCCTCTTCTCTATAGCGTTCTACGTAACCTATGCGTATCCTCCCAGGAATATTAAATCTGCTATGTCTGACTTGGAGTATTGAATGCTATGCAAATAATTGTTGCTGTGTTGTTTAGGGACCAATGATGAAGAATTCTGTACACGTTCGGTACAGATGTGATTTTTGTACATAGAGTTTCAACCCACAGTTGGCTGAGTCCAATAGAAGGATACAGAACCTGTGGGTGCAGAGGCCGAGTCCTTATGCTCGCCGCCATGAGGAAGCATTCCAACAGCCTCTGCCACGTGACTGGCCAGTGCTCCCAGTCAATTCCTTCACCTGCACTGAACTACCCAGCACTGTCAGGCTCATGTCATGGGTCAGAAGCCTTCACACCACATCCTTGGACATCCCTCTGCACTGCACCTGTGCAACTGTCATGCTCTGTAGTAAGTTCCCACTCACCATCTCTTCCCGACAGCATGCTGGTGAACAACCACTGGCATCCCAAGAAGTACAAGGTCTACTGTCCACCATTTGCTGATTTCCATACTACAAAACCGTAACCTGGCAGGTTTTAAGGTACCAGCATGATATCATCAAACCGGGGGTTGGGGGGGAGATTTTTGAGTGTATACCAATCACACCGGTTCTACTTACAGATGGAATTTGAAAACAGCCCAAGAACCTAGACAATAGACAAACATGGTCAGATATAAGGAAGCATTA